TGAGCAGCGTTTTCCATTTTGGAGGAAAAAGAAAAAAGAGGGGGAAAAAAGTGAAAATGAATAAATCAGCTTGGTTTGGAACCGATTTGGAAACCTGAAAGTAGAGGAGGCGGCAGTTCCTCCGCTCAAGGGAGGCAAAAAGTGCCCAGATTCCTACCTGGAGCCAGGGGAAGCAGCTCACGGGTCAGCTCGCCTCCTGCCACTCCGCACTAGCCACGCTAGCCACCAGGCTTGCAGTGGCTCTTTCCACCATCACACACCGGGTGGAGAACGGCAACACTTTATTCCCGGTTTCTTTCCTTGAGAGTGCTCCCGCTGGAGAGGCTGAAGCCCCCAGGAGTGTTGCTTGTTTTAGGGGTACGACAAGAGCATCTCCAAAGGGCTGCACCAGCCCCCGACTTGGGTCAGGAAGCCCAGGGGGTGCCTCTGGGCAGGATGGAGCAAGGGGCCCCTGTGGATCCACTCGCACAAGCCCCTGGCCAAAGCAGACACCACAATAGCTAGTGCAGAGGAGCGGCAGAAGGCCGGCTCCAGGTCGTGCCACAATGTTAGCCCTAAGCCACGACGCGGAGGTCGACTTGGAGCATGGGGTGAAGGCTGAGGGGCCGGCACTCAGTCTTACAGCTGGATACGGAGGTCAGAATTAGGATAGAAGGGGCTGGTGTGCAGGGATAGAAGGGTGAGTTGGAGCTGGACCATGGCTAGAGGGTGGCTGTTTCTAGGAGTTTACGGGAAGAACAAGTCAAGATAAGGATGGGGTGGGAAGGAGGGAACTGCAGGGGCAGGAGACGGGACGAGAGTGGCGGAGACATCAGGGCCATGCAGCAGAAACCATCCAGCACAGAGATCAGGGCAAGAGCAGCCCTGCCGAGTCCAGCGGGTCGGTGCGCCCAGGCGCCGTGTTTCGAGCGTGGCGGCAGGACAGGCGTGCGGCCGAGGACGAGTCGGAGCAAGTCCGGTGCCAGAGAAGCGAGGGCCCTTGTGCAGGGCTCGGCGTGGGCACTGCAGCCGGGGAGCCCTCCCGCCCTGCAGGCTGCGCTGGGAGGCTCCTCCGCGGCCCCCTCCACTTTGTAAGGCACAGCAGGGCTCCTGTCCTGTGTTGGCAGGCGCTGCCCTCAGCGCGACATCATCCGCACGAACTCTGCCGGCGGAGAGCAGCGCCTCAGGGAGTGCGGTTGCCACATCCCCACGCTGCGTTTCCCTCCCGGGCTTCAACCCACTACGCCCCAGCCCCACCTCGCTCGCCCCATACCTTCGAAGTCCACCAGGCCGTCCCCATTGAGATCCACATCCTTGAGGATCTCGTCCACCTCGCGGTAGTTGAGTTGCTGCCCCAGGAGCTTGCGCATGGCCTCGCGCAGCTCCGCAATGCTGATCTGCCCGTCGCCGTTAGTGTCGAACTGCGAGGAAAGCGCTGATGGCGGAGGACTGCCAGCGTTCCCACCTTCTGTGCTGTCCCCCTCGGCACCTGCACTGCCCACCCTAAAGCACCTTGGCCATTAGAGTCCCTGCCTTGGGGCCCATCTTCCCCACGCGGAGCCTCACCTCACGGAAGGCATCGCGCAACTCCTTGATGCCGATCATGTCCGCCGTCTCCGCCAGCATCTTGGGGCCCATCAGCTCCACAAAATCGTCAAAATCCACCTTGCCCCCCGCTGCAGGAGAACAGAAATGTGAGTGGGAGCACAAGGACCAGCTCCTGCCCCATGGGGTGTGGTGTAGGTCCAGCCACCAAGGAGGTAAGAGTGATGCACACCAGGACAAGGTTCCAGCTTAGGGGAAGGAAGCAAAAAACCCCACCACTGCCCCGCCACACCCCTACCATAGGAAGGGCAGAGAGGAGGGTCTGGGAGGGTCTGCGGTCACCCCACAGGGCGCACCCCTGGCACGTACTGATCTGCTGTGACAGCTCGATGAGCTCCATCTCGGTGGGCATGTAGCCCATGGTCCGCATGCACTCGCCCAGGTCCTTGTAGCTGATGTAGCCGTCATGGTCCTTGTCGAACTCACGGAAGGCCTGCTTCAGCTCTGGGTGCAGGGCAGAGTGGCGGGCACCCCCCAAGTCCCACAGGCGAAGGGGGCCCCCTGCTACGTCCCTCCTCCCCAGCACCGCAGGAACCCCCGAACGCCCCTCTGCCCGCCACCCCGGGGGATGGCAGAGATGGCCCCACGCACACAGGCCGTGGGGAACACGCATGTGCCCAGCAGGGCTGGCACCTAGTCCTGGGTCCACAGAAGCCCACGAGGGACTTGCTATACTTTTACCAGCTGGGGCTACCCCAGCTCCGGGACTGGATTAGGTGCCCACAGTGGGAGACAGCAAGGACTGTAATGGCACCAGCCACCAGCCTATGCTTTACCTTCAATCTCTTCTGGCCGCAGCTCTCGGTCCTGGAAAGGAAGCAGGAAGAGTAAGACTGGCCCTAACGGCGAGTCCTTGTCCTCACAGTAAGCTGGCCGAGGAGCCCTAGGGCCATGGGGCAGAGGAGCAGCACAGGGGGACACAAGGAGGCTGTCCCACATGTTTGGGAAACTGGAGGGGACCTGGGGCACAAGAGCTGGGGCTGCAAGCGCAGGGCACATGGGCACCCCAGCATGGCACCCGGTGCCCAGAAGTGACCCAGGCACAAGGCCAAGGGGTGGCACCACTAACACAGCTTTGGTGGAGGGCAGGCGCGGCGCTGGCGGCACGGCCATGGCTGTACATACCAGCTGGGTGATGGCGATGCTCTGGCGGAGGAGGGCCCCACCAGCCCATGCAGCACCGAGTAGTTCTGCAACGGCGGCGACTGGGCGGCCTCTGCCAGCTCGTCGGGGTCTTGGGGGCCCGAGGCAGGGCAGCCCGAGTGCTGCTTCCCATCCTGGAGGCAGAGACAGCCCTAAGCGGGAAGGAGGGCTGACCCACGATGGCAGAGCCTCCCTGGCGGCTGAGGAGGCCACCCCGACCCCGTGGAGAGTGAGGTCAGCAAGAAACGCCTGCGTTACAGGCTCTGCACGGGGCTCAGCATCCCGGTGATTCCCCCACCCAGGGCTCCCTGTGCCATCCTGCTCCTCCAGGCGAGGGTGGGATGAAGCCGGCGTGCGGCAGAGCCTCCTCACACGCCAGGCCAGGCCTTACCTTGGAGAGCCTCCTCTCAGGGGTCTTGGTGCAGTTGCCCATGGCTGGCGGCTCCCCCCGCGCCGCAGGGCATGCCTGGCCCCGGGGTGCCGGTTGGCGCAGTCCTTGGGGCTGGCACTCTGGCCAGGACAAGCCAGGACTGGGTTTTTTATAGTAACAGTGGCTGCGTCGTGGGGATTTGAGGTTTTTATTGAATATCTCTGGATATGCAGGGCAGGCAGAGCGGGG